CAGGATCGAACTGGGGACATTGCTCGAATTAGGCGCACGTGATGACCGCTACACTACGGAAACCTGCATGCCGAAAGGTGTTCGCCAATGGCTAATGCATTCCCAGATTTGGAGGTTTACGTGGGAGAAAACTACTTGATAGATCATGCAAAATCGCCGTGTCGTTACATTCAATTCTTAACTAATTAAACATTAACCATGAGCTGATGAGTTCGGAAAATATTTCTGTCGAAAGATTGAGCTAATTAGAAATGACATTGAAAACGTTGTAATAGACCCACCATTAGTAGATTATCGTTTACCTGATATCAAATTAGACTCATTTAAGCTCCTGTCAGAAGAAGAAGTCCATAACATAATCATGAAGTCGTCGAATGCAACATGTAACCTTGATTACGGTCTTGATCTAGTCTTTGAGAACTTCAGGCCCGTCAGTAACCTGTCTTTCGTTTCTAAAGCTACGGAAAAAGCAGTTGTTAGCCAGTTATTTGAGCATTGTGCTGATAATGCTCCTCTTCCTAACAACCAATCGTCATATCGTCAATTTCACTCTACCGAAACAGCTCTCTTAAGAGTCCACAATGATATCCTTATGAACATGGACCAACAGAAAGTAACTCTTTTAGTGCTCTTGGATTTGAGTGCCGCCTTTGACACCATTGTTCATGAAATTCTGATGGATATGTTGAAGTTAGAATTTGGTGTGATCGGAAATGCCTTAAAGTGGATTAAGTCGTTTCTTTCCTGTAGAAAGCAGCGTATTAATATTAAGCAAAAGTTTTCCGCCAATTTTACGTTGAACTATGGAGTACCACAAGGAAGCTGTCTTGGACCGGTCCTTTTCCTATTATACGTGTCTCAACTGTTCCAGATTATTAACAGGCACTTACCTTCTTCCCATGGGTATGCAGATGACACTCAACTTTATTTATCTTTCCGTCCTGAGTCACCCGTTGTCCAAGACCAAGCTATTCAAACTATTAATAATTGCATCGTCGAAGTTCGTGCTTGGTTAGTTTTACATAAATTAATGTTCAATGACACTAAAACGGAATTCTTGATAATTGAAACTCGCCAGCAGCTGTCTAAGGTTACAATCGACTCGATTGAAGTTGGTGATGCTGATATAAAACCTGTACAAGAAGTCCGAAATCTAGGTTCGTGGTTTGACGAACATATGTCGATGAATGTCCATGTGGGCAGGGTTTGCAGCAAAGCATTTAGGGGCTTGTACAACATCCGACAAATAAGGAAGTTTCTCTCCATCGAATCAACTAAAACGCTCGTACATGCCTTTGTGACGTCACACTTGGACTACTGCAATTCCCTCTTGTTCGGCATTCCCCAATACCAACTTCAGCGTCTTCAACGAGTTCTCAATGCCGCTGCTAGAGTGACGTGTCTTATACCAAGATGTGCTCATTTTTGTCATTTTTGTCTCGCTTTGTCTACTATACTATACTATACTATACTATACTATACTATACTGTACTATACTATACTATACTATACTATACTATACTATACTATACTATACTATACTATACTATACTATACTATACTATACTATACTATACTATACTTATACTATACTATACTATACTATAAACGGTTAAAATTAACAAAATACATAGCTAGTTACATATTTACGGTGTTACACATAATTACATTCGTACAACATCTCAGAACATGCACTTCTCCGAACAACAAGACATAAAACAAGAACGACATTTAGAGCAAAAAGTTTTTAATTAACATCAAAACATGCATTAACTTTTTGAGTGTAGTGAATATAGAGTTTAAGTTTCAGTGACTGAATAGAGAGAGGATTTTACTTCTCCTGGCAGGCTGTTCCATAGTGGCACTATCCTATTGAAAAATAGGTTTCGGATGTAAAGCTGGTTATTATGACTTTACACTTGAAGACAATATACTAGTCAATTATACTAATCATCACACTCGCTTTAGCTCTACAGATTCATACCGACCAAACCGTTGCAACGAATCTTAAATATTTACTTTATATATTGTAAATTTTAATAAAGCATTTTATTAACATCAATTGTGTATGAATATGACCACTGCATTTATATGACCGCCAAATATCAGGGATAGATTTACTGGGGTGTGTGCACCCCCCTCCCCCCCCCCCCCCACCT